TGCTGCTGCTGCTGCCGTTGCTGCTGCTGTTGGTGGCTTTGCAATTTATGCCCCCAAAACGTCGCCTGCCTTTTGTTGGCATGCGAAAATTTGCTAAAATAGCAGCCAGCAGCCAGTGTTGCCGTATAAAAACTTTTTGCTGCCGCTGCCCATAAAGCACATGTGTATACACTCTGCGCTCACATGCTTGCGACGCGTGTATATAATGTAACGGTTTCTGTGTCTGTCTCTCTGTATATGTGAGTGTAAATTATATGCTATTTATGTATTATGTTAAAGCTTTGCGATACAAATTTGGCTTTAAGCTTCCACCAGCAGACGTTGCGTCTGGCTCATAAATCATCCACTACGAAGGCTAAGCAGACAATGTGATAAGCGCAGCTTTTCAGGTTGCGCCAGGTTATGGCTCAGAGTCATCATTTATAACAAGTGTGCGGCTTTTGGCTTGTTGCGTTTTTTGATAAGCCGGCAACATTGATATATTGACAGCGACCAACAGCTGGAAAAGTTTTTCTTCTTCTATTTGATAGATATACGGTTAGTCTGCACAGGCAGCACAAAAAGGTAGTCCATTTATTATGTATATTACAGCTACATTTGAAACGATAAATGTGAACTGGTTCTTAGTCGTATAGTTCCGTTTTGGAACTATTGGAACTGCTGCGTTCTTTAAGCCCTTTATAATTAGGCCAAGTTAATGGTCCAGTTCAGAAAGTAGCCAAGAATTTAAAAGCTAGCTCAAAGGAATGTAATGAAGTTGATAATTTAAAACTTGATTTTTTATTGAGGCGAGATTCAAAAACCAGAATAAAATATTAAAATTATTAAAGTAAAAAAGTATTACACAATTTTGTTACAAGTGTTTTACATAAAAGTAAATACCCATTTATGAAAGCATCCGTGAGTAGCACAGTTTGAAATGTTTTTCTTTATTAAAAATTTACTGACTTTCATTTATTTCTTCTTTTTTTTATCACATCGGATGTTGCAGGACTTTCATTTCCCGTCTGTTCACCCCGCTGTGCCCCATTCCCCCATGGCTTCAGTGCCACCAAAATGTGACCCGTAATTGCTTTAAATGCTATTATGACACTTACGCACAGCGGCAAGTCCGTTGTCCGTGTACTTGCCACAGCCCGGAGAGCAGAGAGCTGTTGTCCAAGTTGCGCGCCGGCAACGGCGGCTCGTTGTCTGCCCGCCTGGCAGCTTGCCAAGGGCCAAGGGCAGCTGCGGTGTGGTGTGTGGTTGCAGCTCGTCGCGCTTGTTGGCTTCAATTGTTTTCGCTTTAAATAATTAAATTAAAATGGGCAGTCGAACTGATTGGAGCAGTGGAGCAGTTGAGCGCACTTGCACCCCGCTCCACTTATCTGCAGTCTGCTACTCGCTTTTGGCCAGAGTTTGATGCTAGCTCGGCTCGGCTAGGCGGGTGCATTGAACTCGCATTGCTACCAATTACCGTCCGACTGACTAGTCCAATCTCTGTACTTATTCTGTGCCTGCCTATAAATCATTTACTGGCTTCGACATTATCGCAAGTTCTTGGCAAAAAGTGGGCTCCGCCACCTGCCCCTGTGTCCCCGCCTCACGTGCGGCAGTTACGTGCCTTGTATGGAACTTGTTTTGCGCAAATTATGCCACAGAACGCTGCACTGTACTAGCCTGGCAGATTGTATCTGCCAGATACAGCAACATGGCCATATAAGCTGCAGCCTCGACGCACGTACCAGATCCCACCCTCCCTGTCCTTACGTGCACCACCCCCACTTGCAGCAGGCGGTGTCAATTTATGGCCAGTGCCAGTTTCTAATAAAATGTCAGCGCCTGCTTTGAGGCTGAATTTGGATTTTTGGTCTCTGATTTGATTCGATTCGATTCGCTCACGGCATCTTGTGCGAGACTCGTTTATTTGCGGCTTTGGTGTGCAATGTGCGAAAGCCAAATGCACTTTAGATATCATTTTGTACACACTCATCCATACATGTGTCGTCTGTCTCCTCTATAGACTGTCTATAGATATGTGGTTTATTGGTTTTGTCAGACACACGACAAGTGTCATTCGCATCATGTCTGTGCTTTGATTTGTGCTCTGCTATAAATTTCAACAGATTGACATGAAAATTGTCAATTGTCGAGTTGACGGCGCCAATACAAATTTGATATTTTTGAATTGTGTTATAGAATAGTGTTCCAATCAGTTTTTAATTGAAGCCCAACATGATAGGATCAGTAAATGGTGAAATAACAGCTGAAAACTGGTGAAAAAAGAAGTGAGTGACTCTTAAACTGTAATTTTTATTCTGTGCTTATAAACTTGGGATGCATATCGAAATTTGCTGCTTTCTCAAGTGCGATATCGCACTCGAACTATAAAAGAGAGCTGCTCTAGACTGAATTTGAAAACAATCTCGTACTCATATAAATGGATATATATTCTAACTGAAAGGGTTAAGCGATAAACAAACCAATATGATTACTCTCACAGAAAATATAGACATATAGTTATTTAAATCATGTCTGCTTTATAAACCTACCATGAGTATTTTTCGAGTACTATTCGCTATCATTCATTTGTTAAGCGTTTTTATACTAATCGAACAAATTGGTGGACATCAATACTGAAGAAAAGGTATAATTTTGAGTAAATTGTAATTTAAATTAAGCAAAGAATATTTGTATATAAATCAAGTTCTCTTGTTCTCATAGAAGAATTTTTGATTCGTTCCATTGTGCTTCAAGAGATGTTATATAGATCTTACAGGAATGTCGTTAATTTTGTTATCCATTGAAAACTTTCAGATAAACTTTACTTTTCTAAAAGGCATTTCTTTCTTCTCTGAGTTCTTATATTTCATTTTTATGTCTGGCTATAATTTTATTGTTTACACTGAAAGTTTTGTTTATTGACGTTTATCACTTTTTGATTATTTACTTTGAAAATTCGCTATTGAATATCTCAGCAAATTGTCTTTGTCTGCGATATTGCGCATTGATGGTAGGGGATGTCCGTCTGATATGATCTGATATGGCCTTCAACATGGCCATGTGGCATGAGTAATGCAGCTGGCATTGTCTGGCAAACGGATTGGGGATATGTTATGCTCTTGGCCCTGAACTTAAATGGCCAGTAAATGCAGTGCCAATCGGGCGTGCATAAGTTATGTGAACTGTCTGCCAGACGCTGACCATAAACCAGACATAATGACGCCCAAAAAAAAAAAAAGAGATAAACAAGAATATTAAAATAAATCGCAAGAAAAGTCGTATTAAAGGAAAAATAATTTTGCACAGTTAATTTGTCATTTCCGTAGCTGCTGACAGCTTCCGGCGTTGGCCAAATGCACCTGAGCATGCTTAATTGAATTTCGCATTTTCGTGCCCAAATGAGTCAAGGATTGGGGCATGCAAATTGTTGTTGTTGTTGATGTTGTTGGTGCTGCTGCGTTTCGGCATGTGCTCACTGTCAAGTGCAACATGGCAAGGCAGCAGGCGCTGCTGCGTGCCAATGTCTGCGCACTTGATCTCACAAAAAATGAGAAAAAGTATCTGTATCTTGAGTTGTAGCTGTATTTGTATCTGTATCTGTATCTGTATCTGTGGCTGCCTGTCGACCCATAGTGCCCAGACTCATGCATCTTCCAGTGGCGCATTCAACGTCAAAATGTTGCCCGTCTGCCATAAAATTGCCTGAATTTAGCGCTAGCTCCAAGGCGCTTCTCTTTCGGCCACTTCTCTCTAGCTGGGCTACTGTTGCTAGTTGCATTGCCTGGCAGCGGTCCAGCTGCCTCGTCGAGTGTCTTTGCCTTTGCCTTGTTAATCTACGAGTGGCAGTTGCTGGTCCCTGGTACTCCTCGGGCTTTGTTGTTTTCATTACCGTCCACATGGGCGCCTATTAAATGCAAAATGTGCAGACAGCCAGAAAGACAAACGGTCCTCAGTCCAGAGCACCCATACCATACCCAGTTATCCCTACACCCTGGACCCTCCGCCATTCGGCTGTCATATGAATTAAATATGCAAGTGCCGTTCCGGGACCATCAACTGCACTTGCAACAGGGAGTTGGTCGTGGAGTGCTGGAGCTGAAGTTGTGGTCTGTTCGGGTGATTAAAGTTAATTACATTTTTCATGGCTCACATCAGTTCTTTTTTGCTCCTCTTCCTTTTTATGAGCGGATTTTTTCTCGTTTTATTATTATTTATTTATGCCACGTCCTTGGTCTTTGCCGATTTTTCCACTCTATTAATTTGCGTGTTGATTTATTTGCGGGCGACGGGCAGCTGGGCTTTTCTTTTTGTTTATATGGAAATCAGTGCAAACAGCATGCGGCATGCGGCATGCGGCATGTGGCATCATCGTCTGCGTTGTCATGTAAACATTCGAACTGGGCGTTAAATCGAAAACCAAATGCTGCAATCATTTCGCAATGTAAATTCAAGGAAGGAGGGCGGAAGCAAAGCTGCCCGACGATGTGAAGAACTTAAACAGAAAGAGTGAAACACTAAAAACGCATCTGGAACGCAGCACAGACTCTTTCAATTAGATTACATAAAGGGCTTTGATTGATCATCTAACACACTAAACTCTGATATACATATAGAGAGAGTGCACTACTGAGTCATGGGAAAATATCATGGTATACACATATATATAGAGCAGTCTGAAATAAAACTGCAGCAACATCTAATGATTTATTCAATGAATCACTTCATTGTATTGCATTTAACAAAGATATCAAATATCCATAGCTGGAAAGCGGGGGTATATTTTCCTGCAAATTAAACGTATATAATACAGCTGATACGCAAACGTTGTTAATAGGTAATTACGATTAACTAACAAACATAAGTCGACTCTGAATTCGTTTACAATTCCCAAACAGTTTAAGAGCGTGTCCAGTATAAAGTTTTGTATTGATTCTGGGCTAGATCTTAAATTATATCTCTTAAACTGCTGTTCATCATACGTTTGTTTCAAAATCCCTCTCTGTCTTCTCTCTTCACAGCTGAAAGCGACCTGCTCACATTTGCACAACGTAAGCAGCACTACGAGTCGGACAAGGCATTCCAGAAGGAGCTGTTCTCCAGTGATACGCGACCGCACAGCGTGCGCCAGCTGTACAAGGAGGCGGGCAAGGAGTTGTTGCTCTTGTCCAGCGCAGCCAATACGCCACGTTCCACATCCTTCAACGGCGATATACAAACGAATGACGACGTCCTGGATGGTACAACGGATGCGTCCTGCATGGAGGAGTCGCTGCTCTGCTCCGACTCGGACTTTGGCAATGCCAATCGCAGGCTGCGCACGCGCATCGATGCCGAGATTGAAATACGCTTGGTGAGTAGCCTTCACGGATTCCGACGGCCGGTGGTGTTCCTATTACTACTTGGTATGTGGAGCAGCCACAAAACTGGAGCTGATTTAGTGCTTGCCTCATGCATAAATAATAATCTGCCACAACATAGCCGGCGGCCCAATCCCAGAAACCCGACCACGGTCCCATGTGTGTGGTCTGTGCGGTTGACGCTGTGGCCATTGCTTCCTGCTATTTGCCAGCTGTGCCAGCTCAAAGAGCTATGGCCAAAACATCTTCCAACAATGTGCTCCACATAGACACGAACACACACGGCCAGATAGAGAGAGACAGACCTCTGTCGTTGTCAAACAAGTTGGGCCAAAGCAGATACCAAGACCACACAACAGGCCTCTGGCTAACGAGGCGGTCGCCAAATCATTTCGAGTTCAGTTCAGTTCAGTTGAGTTGTTATACCCTGTAGTAATTAATAGTCAAAGCAGGTTGGCTTTAGAAAATGCATTTAATTGGCAAAGGGCCTACAGAATGTGCTGTATTTACTAGGATCTCTCTGTTCTTATCCCTAATTTTTCGTGGGTCATCAAAGACAATCAACGGGTTTGCTTAAAGATCATAGATATATATTATATATGTTTTATGTACTTTATAATGGGTAAAAGATAAATTCTTTTGCATAGTGATTCGTGTGTAGGGCATCTTTTGGTCGAAAACTGATGCCAAAATGGTCTTACTTCGTTTTTAATTGCTGTTGTGACGTCCCACGCTGGGCGTATGAAATTGCCAGTTGAAATCGCATAGAAAGGGTCTTCAGTCTTAACTCTTTAAAACTCTTTCCACCGCCTCTTCTTGCCACAGCTCGTATCAGTAAATCGCAGTTACTTAATTTGAGCTAACGCGCTTTAGAGTTGTTCCATTTGCCACGGGCAACGTCAACTCCATCGTCATCCAACGTCATCGTCATCGCCATCATCTTCCTCGTCCACATCATCGCCAGCTTCATCGTCAACGTTGTCTTTCCTTGTTTATCCATGCCATTAGATAAGCTGGCTAAGACAAACAGCCACTGGCTGACGATGACGATGGCGGCGACGACCAGGCCGCCGCCACGGCGACTTTCCTGTTCAGCAGCTTGGCAAAACTAGTTTGGACTCAAAAACGTAGAGCCAGTTGTCAATAGTTGGCCAAAAGTGGTCGAATGTCGTCTTTTAGCCCAGTCGCTGCCAATATCCACATGAAGACGACGTCTTTGTCGTCTGCCCCTTAATTGAATGACTTTTAATCCTTTTCGCATTGCGTTTGACATTAGTTGCCGCCAGTTCCACATGAACGCATCTCCAGCTCCAGCTCCAGCTCCAACTGCTCTTGCTTTATGGCTTTAACGCTAGTTGGCCAAGATTCGCATTAGCGCATTCGGTTTATTGCTTACGGCCGCAAAAAATGATTGTTGTTGTTGTTGTTGTTGCTATTTGCTGTTTGTTGTCAGAAGGCAGCAGCACATGGAATTCGATTTTATTATATATGGCACGACATTTATGTGCAAATATTTTATCATTGAAACTTGGCCAGTTCGCTGTGCCATTCAATTGAGCCAAACAAAGTGCCGACGAACCGTAAACAACAACAAATTATTGGCAGCTAGTCAGGACTTGCACACTGGTAACAAGCTTATATAAAAAGTCAAAACCAAAAAAGAATTCGATGAATATATTAAATATAGCGTTCATTTTAGTGTGAACGACTGGCAATGTTAACACGAATGATTATATTTATATTAATAAAAAGGTAAAAAATGACAATGGAGGACTTTTGAAGATTCATAGAGAGAATAATATACTAGTTTAATAAAAATCGATTTGGCTTCAATTAAAACCTATAAATCTTCTAGCAAATCGACAAACAAAATTGTTTGCACTTTGACGTTTGTAAGACGTGCATTTTACAACCACGATATCCGGTTTCAGTTTCTAACTTTAGTTAATATTATTCTTTTTATTTGTTCATCAAGTTGCTTAAATTTAACATATTCAGAGCTTATGGCACTGCAATAAATAAATCATAAATAACTTGAATTTCGCACCACTGTGCGTAGAAGCGTTCCTAATTTGTAAGTTAGTCCAAAAAGACGAAAGTTTGCCTCGTTGTGAAAGCGTAGCTCAAGTGGTTTTTTTATGTAAATTTCTGATATTATGTGGGTGTTGGGGTTACTTCGTCTTACATGCCCATGCCCTCCCAGCACAACCACTCCCCCCCCCCCCCCTTCCCTTTCCACAGTTCACTTTCAATTGTTACAATTGATTTTAATGGGCATCCTCCCCAAAAAAAAAAAATCAATGGAAACGATTGCGCCTTTTGCTTAGTGCGATTGGCTCACTTGGAAATAGAGCTTGAAATATTTTTGGGGAATTTGTAGATTGTGATTGCTTTTAATTAGTCTGATTGAATTTCGATGGGGTTGCCAACAAACGGACACAAGCGAAAATAAATCGAAATCCAGTTGAGAAAACGCGTGTTTTTCTCGCGCTAAACCAAATGAAAAATCGCGTGACATGGTCAAATATTCGCTGGCCAAGCACAAACAGAGAGCGCAGCAAAACTGACAAATGTTTGCGCAAACACCAAATGCAAGAGTTCAGCTCATATTTCAGCATATGAGTGGCTTCCAACGGTACAAGGATATGCGTGACAGAGTCCTGCCGTGGGTCCAATTAATAGCCTAAAACATATTTTTGCATGTCTCGTTTTGGCCAACTGCTAATTAAACGAATGCCCTTTCGCCTCTCTCTCTCTCTCTCTCTCTCTCACTCTCATATCATATCTGTGTTCAACCCCTTTTGCAGCCCGCTGGCATCGAGGATTTGCGCAAATGGACATCCAGCGAGGCGCTGGGTGATGTCACCGTCACGCCCGATTGCATGCACCATGTGGAAACCTCGATCTGCACATCGTTGTCCTTTGGTGATAATGGCGTCCTAACGCCCGCACTCTCTCCGTCCGTGCTCTCCGCCGATGCAGCCGATGCGCTCTACGCGCTCAACATTAGCCAAACGGCGGACGGCGCCCATCAGCACCATCACCATCATCATCATCTCCAGCAGCAGCAACTGCTGATACCGAACGATATCAATAAAGATGTGCCTTTGAATCATCGACTGCCTTCACCCGAGGAACAAACCAAAATAATTGCCTTAAAGTAAGTACAGCAATTCGTATTTAAATGATTCTAAACAAAAGTTTGACAGCCATTGTGCTCTGCCAGCCAGCCAGCACATTTTCATATGCTAATTTATTGGCATTTCATGAACAGCGCCCAAGCGGCCAAATACTCTTTTTAAGGGAGCTTTATCATTTTGTCATGAAATGTGTAACATGTAGACATACCCAACGCCTGCCTTATGAAATACAAATAAGGAATCAAAGTTCCAAGAAGCTAGTTATATTATGAAACCTTTCATGCTTTATTTTTAAAGATTCAGTGTGATCTTTACATGTACTATATCGAATATATGAAAAACTTTTATATGGGAGGAAACGATCTCAAAATTGATTTTTGCATAGAAAAATTTTTGTCTATTCTATTAAAACATCCTTCAAAAGTATTTAAAAAAATATTATATGAAAGTAAGGCTAGGTATTAATTATATTGATTATTATTATTATTTATTCATGAATATATTTTAAGAAATTTTGATTGTTTGAAGGCTTTTCTAAGATCCAGACTCTCAGTTGAGTGAGAGCATGAGCTGAAGATGTAGATAGTTTGGGTTGGATTTCAACCTTATAGCCAATGTACAAGTCTTACGATTTCTTCGATAAAAAAGTTTATCGCATATTAAGTTTTTGGTTGAAGCGGTCATCCTCTGTAACCATGATAGCTAGACTCCACTGTACCATTTAAAACTTAGCATCAAGCTCATTCATTGAATAGATTTTTACCTAGATTGTTTTAATTTCATGGATAATGTTTGTAAGCGTGTTCAAGCCTCGTCATGCCCTATCTGTTATTTTATTTTTTTTGTTTTTATCCGTTTACAATATTTGGCCTTTTGTTTGTAACGCGACGCAATCAGAAACCGCAGCGTAAAAAAGCTAAATAAATTAATTCAATTGCGCATTACATAAATCTACAATGTGGCCACAAACACACACACACACACACAATTATGCAAGTGCTGGCCAGGGCCACGCCCACACCAACCCGCACGCCCTTCTATGGTAATGGCTCATTTGTTTAATGTACCCGCCCCCAAAATGGGCACAGCAAACAAACAAACAATTGGAGAAGGGATCGGCGGAGAAGAGACAAACATTGTTAACGCTTCGTTGATTTAAAGCGCAAATGTTTGACTTACATTTAAGCTACAATTAAAAAAGAAAACCACAAAATGCACTCTAAAATCTAATCCTATGTAACTCTGTCCCACCCACCCACTTACAGATACCCCGCCGAAGTGATCTCGGTGAACACATCCGGCAAGCATTTCCAGCGGATGTGCGCCGCTCGCAAATCCACGACGGGCTGCTATGCCGGCGGCGCTGGCACCGCCACGCCCAGTAGCGGCAGCCCCGAGGATAACCAGACGGAGGCCAACAATCTGGATGACAACGTGCAGACGGTCAGCAGGCGATCGAGATCGCGCAAGGTGCGCGGCAAGCGTCGCAACACCATAGCGGGCATCGACCAGAAGGAGATACAGGATGCGGCCAATGGGTATGTGAAGATCAATCCAGATATAGATGTATATACGGAACTCCTAGCGAGTGTTTTTTTTCCACTATTGTTTAACACTTTTCGTTGCCAATTCGCAAAGATCTACAATGCAGTGGCTCTCAAACTGTACATAAAGCATACTGAGACCAACTCATATACATATATCGTACATATCGTACATATGATCCATACGAACTATATCAATTGCATTTTCCTATGAAAAATTATTGTGTGAAAACTCGAAAATCAAAAGTCTATAGCTGCAAAATTTGTTATGCTGTTTAGTATTTGATTCATTTTTATTACGGTTATTCAGTTAATTTGTTTTCTAAATTTTTTAGACAATTATCGAAAAGTTATACACATTTTTCGTGCCTCTTTGTATTCTGTATTATGTAATTAATTTTTTGTAATTGTTTGCTAAATTAGGAGCACAGCGCATGAAGAAAATTGATTAAACTGAATGTTGTACAAAAGAATATTGAATTGTAAATAATCTTATTAATTGTTGTTTGTGTTTGCATATATAGTTTACAACATTTTTGTTTCTGTCTAGATCAATGACAATTAAAAAGAATTGCAAGCAACATAATTTTTTTTTCAGCCAAGCTAATTGAAAACCATTTTTTTCTGCCAGCCAAAGATAATTCTTAAAACAAAATTGCAAAACGCCAAAGAAAAAACAAAACAGCCTAACAAATTACTCAACATTAGAAACCAATACACACTCACACACACACACTCACACACATACAACACACACAACACGCATTGCTCGCATATATCATAAAATTCATTCATATCCGAGACATTCACCTCTTGCATTCAGCGCGGTCACAAACCACCCACACACAGGCACGCTCTATTGCCATTTGCCTCGGCAACATTGTTGCCAGCTGTCATGTTGCACAGCAACATGCTGCCCACTCGCAGCTCCCTCAGCACTCAGCCTGCGCATCATCAGCATAAATCAGGCGTGGAGCCACGTACTCTCTATAGGATTTTTGCCAACCAGTCAAAAACCAACAACAACTCCTTTTGGGTTTTGTGTTTTTTTTTTTTGTTGCCTCTCGTACTTCTTCAGTGCATTTGGCTGACGCCTTTTGCTTAAAAGTTTCATAAATCTTATTTGTTTTGTTGGCGTCGTCTGCCCACAAAACCCACGACCCGATGCCTGCGACGTTGTCGTCATTCCGTTTGACTGCGTTTCATATGCAACATGAAACTGCAAAGTAGTCACACACACACACACACGCACACACACACACTTAGCCAGGCACACACGTGCATCTGTGTGAGTATGTATGCTATATATGCCAATGCTGTTCAATATCTGTGCGATCAGCATTAAATATGCAAAGCAAACCAAAACCAAACTCAACTGAACTCAATTGCCCGTCAAACTGTGAGTAATGTATGCAATGCGAGGGCTACCCGAGAAGTTGCCAAAAGCTATATACAAAATTTCAAAAAGATTCAAGAATTTCCAGTCGTACCTAAAACTATATGGCCTAACTTTTCTAGAAATGAAAATATTTTAATAGCAAATAACATGTTAAAATAATCTTCCGTATACCAAATATTCTCCATTTATAAAAGATCAACTGTCTTACCATATCAGTTATAAGGATTACAGTTACATAAACAACTGACTGTCATTGATATTTTTATAAGATTTCTTTAAATTATTTACTTCTTTGGATTGATTTATGCTCGAATGTCAAGAGCTATGATTAGGACTGCTCTTTACTGTTCGTATAACTAAGTACTTAATACTGAAAAAAATACTCAAAAATTTAACTATAGTTTTGTTTAAAACCCACCTCTTAGAAGCTCAAATATCATATTATTTGGTGCATCGTGCATACAGCAAATGTTTTCATATAAAAGTTGACCTGCACCCAAATCCGCGGCAAATCGCTCAATTGAAGATGTTTTTTTTTTTTTTTTGGGGAGGGAATTGAATGAAAAGCGTTGCTTATCGGCATAATTAGTGTGCGTGTGTGTGAGTGTGTGTATGCATGTGTGTGCACCCTATGCTGTCTATAAGTGCATGCCACAGCTGCCCCACAAACGAAATAGAATTTTTAGCTGGGGGCACTCAGAAATGTAGATGTTGTAATCGCTTTTAATAATCAACAGAAAGCAGAGCAGCAACAGAAAGAAAAAAATGTTTGCTTGAAAATTAAACTTTGAACTGTGCCATTAATTAATCTACATTTTCCCAGAGCATTTCCATTGTGTGTGTGCTTGTATCTGAAAACTCTCGCTCGTTTTAAAATGAACAAAATTGATAACTTGTCTGAAATTAACCAGAAACAGAAAATGAAAAGAAAAGAATCAAAATTATTAGGCAGAATCTTTTGGACTCACACCTCATAATGATTTTTATAGATTGGCAAACATTTTCCTCCAAAATTCCTCTCACTCTCTCTCTCTCTCTCTGACTCGCGCTCTCTCTCTCTCTTTCTGTCTCTCTGCTGAACTGTTTCGGTTTATCTTCTAACCAAATATCGCACACATCTTCATCAAGTCTTACAATTTAGCTAACCATATACCAAACATATATATATTTTCTTTTTTATGTTTCCCAACAACAACAACAACAACAACCACAACATTACAACAACAACAAAAACAAAACATTTTCCCCATTTACACAACAGCAATGCGGATTCGAAGCATCCATCGAATGCCACATCGCCAGCGCCCGCGGCAACTGTGGATACCACAAAGAAATCCAAGAAATTCGGACGCAGCAAGTCGAGCGACATCTTAAAAAAGGAATCTGTTGCCTTGCCCTACGACAAGGGCAAGAGCACGCTGACCCGCCTCAACTCGCTGAAGCAATGGGGCCGCAATCGGTTCAAGTTTATGCAGCGCAATGGCGAGCTGAGCGGCGTTGGCGAGTCGAGCCAGCTGGATACCAGCGGCTGCAGTTCGCAGAACAGCTCCACAGAGAAGCCGGAACCGAGCCACGGCCACGGCCATGGCCACTCGGTGCCAGCGCCGTCAGCCAACGCTGGGCTCAAGTCCAAGCGCGACGCGACCCGAGACATTGACGATGAGTGCGTGGTGCATGAGCTGATTGCCAAGAAGAGTGAATCTCGGTTTTCGCACGAACGAAAACCCTCGTATTCCTCGTCGGAGAAGAGCATGAGCGTATCCAGCAGCGGCCAGCTGCGCGGCAAGCTGCAGTTGTCCTCACTGGCGGCGTCGTCGGCGGCGCATGTCAAGATGCGTGAAACGGCCACACTAAACCGACAGCGACGCAATGGGCTACATCGCATGGACGCGGCTGGCAAGGAGGAGCAGCCGCACTCGTCGAGCGGCAACTGGAGCGCCAGCTCAGAGTCGGGACGCGCCTCGATTGGCAGCGAGATAACCATGCAGCCGAAGTCAAGCGCCTCGAACACCTCGCTAAATGTGTCCAGCTTCCAGCCGTGCAGCAGCAGCGGTCCGCCCTCGTCCATGCTGAGTCGGCGCCGTTTCCTCAACACCTCCGCCTCGAGCAGTGTGACCAGCGAGGGCACTGCCACGCCGGAGCTGCAGGGCGATGCGGGCGGTTATCCCAATCATCTGGACGATGAGACCAGTTCCGCATACAGCTGCGACACGGAGGGCTACTACACATCCTTCCACATGGACAGCGGTCTGCGCACGCTGAAGGAGGAGGAGCCGCCGATGACGCCGCTGCAGCAGAGCCTGCACACAAGCAGCTACTCCTTTGGCAGCCAATCGAATCAGACGGTGCTTAATGCGGAGAATGAATATGAGCTATATGGACGTGGCTCCACATCGACCACAACCAGCTCCGCGGGCACCGTGTGCACCACATTGATGAATGTGGCCGTCTGCACCGGGCCGGATGTGCCCGAACGCAGCAGCTCGCTGGGCAAGCACAGCCAGAGCCACAGCAACAGCAACAGCGCCAGCAGCAGCACCCTGGAGCGCAGCTACAGCAGCAGCACCATTGGCAGCACGCTGGAGCGAACGGGCACCATAAAGAGGAATGTGAAGCTGTCTGCCAAGACGGAGGATGCAGTGCAGCAACAGCAACAGCAGCTGCAGCAGCAGCATCATGCGGAAGACGGCGCGTCACGCTCGGCGCAGCCGTTGCCCGCCGACTTAGAGTACTCGGAGTGCTCAGATTTGGAGGGCGTGGAGCGCATCGAGCGCATCAAACAGAAGACGGCAATCAATGCAAAGCGCATACCCTCCATGTGCATCATAACGCCCACCACCAGCGACGATGATGAGCATCAGTCGCAGGATGCGGAGCGTACGCTGACCAGCCTGCAGCTGGACGTCGACACGGAATCGGATGTGCCCGAGCAGTTGACGCCCACCAACAATGGCAGCAGCAGCAGCAGCAGCAGGGACCACAACCTGAACGAGCTGAAGCACACACCAACAAAAGCTCTCGGAGGCATGCTCGAAAAGCTGCGAGTCGTGTTGCCGGCAGCCATCAAAAGGTCACCGGGCAAAAGCTGCTCACCACCAAAGCCCGCCGCGGCGAGCGCTGTGGATGACGATAAGCTCTATGACCTGGCGGGCGAGTATGTGACTATAGCAGATATAAGCAACAACAACAACAACAATCGCAACAACAACAACAACAATAGGCAGCACAATCGCGCCAAAAACAACCTCGCCATTTACTATTCCAATGACATAGTTAGGAGGGTGGCGCCCGAGCAGGCAGCGAATCAACAACAACCCTCGGAGTACGTTTCGCTCAACGAGCTGCCTCAGCATTTGCGTCGGCATGCGGCAAGCGGCGGCAGCAAGAGCGAAGCCTGCGCAGAGCAGCCAGCTGTCGCAGCTGCTGCTGCTGGTTCTGGCAACCCTGCCGGGGCGGGCGGGCTGAGCGGTGAGAGCGGCGTGCCCATGTACGCGGAGATCAGCGAACTGCGCGAGGAAAAGTCGCTCATCTCGCCGAGCGGCGGGCAGCGTCGGGTGCGCACAACTGCCGAGGGTCGCATCATATACGATTCGGACAGTCTGAAGCGACGCAAGGGAGCGCACACCACCTTCGCACCTGGGCCGTATGTAAAGGAAACCGAAAGTGCGCTGCTCAGTGCAACGCGAGACGCCACGGGTGAAAGTGCAACAGCAGCAGCCGCGGCAGCAGCAACAACAAAGAGCGCCAAATTATTGTTATTAAACGGCGGCATCGCGGCCAATCGCAAGGTGGCCAATGTGCGCCCAATATTAGCCAAATCGCCGCTCAGCAAAATGACCGCCTATCAGCCGGGCAGCAGCTATCAGGAGCAGAAGCAACTGCTGGCCAACAATACGAATCCATTTTACGAGACAATTACGACGCCTGTGGCCACAGCCGGCATGATGCCCTCGCCCTCCAGTAAATCGAATTCATCCACTGGCTCCACGGCAACCAGTTCATCATCGGCCACAACTACCGCCTCGGCTAGCTCTGCGGAAGAAGGTAAGAATCTGCGAACAGCAACCCAACAACAACAACAAGAACAACAACAGCAACTGCAACAACAACAACCAGAGCAACAACAACTGCCACATCAGCAGCAACAACAATTGAATGCCAGTTGCAGTGATTTTGTTAACGTAACCGCTTTGACGCACCCAAACCAAATCCTTGCTATTGTAAATAATACGCTACTACACTCTACTACCACAACAACAACAACTTTTAACAACAACAACAACAACAACAACAGCCACTCAAATTTGTTGCTGAGCAAGTCAAAATTCGCATCAATGAGCAGCATTTCATGTGTACAGCCGATTCCCCCCACAGCTTGCGGCACGCAAGTGAGGGTTGCTGCCACGCCGTCAACTAACCCCCAATTCAGCCCCCATATAAAGTCAGCCCCAGTCCCAGCCCCACCCCCACCGCTGCCGCCCCGAACGAAAGTAAATGGCATAGCTGAAGCTGCAATACGCACACCCACACCCTCGCCTCCACCCCCGGTTGATTTGGCAACTGCCGCCGTTTTATCGATTGACCCAATTGCTGAAACGCAGTTTTCCATTTCGAATGCAACTGCCCCCAAACCTAGCCCCAACCCCACTCTCTCTCCCACTCAGAGCAAATGTCGCTCTGTCGCGCTCAAGCGCAACAACAGCTATAGGCTGGCCAACGATGAGCTGAAGCTGGAAATGAATAAGGAAAACTGTTTGTCATCGACTCCACCTTACGGTGCATTGCCCCCTATGTTGCATGCAACAAGTTCGCTGAAACTGCGCAACCTGAGCAATATGCAATTGGTGTCCACCACACCAAATGCTGGCTGCCCCGCTGAGCGCAAGATAGCCAAGTCCTTTGAGCGACTGGTCGATGAGTTTTCGCTATCGACCACCACATGCATTGACTCCTCCTATTTGAAGAACAAATCGCTCGAGAACTTTGATGATTCACCCGCATTGCACACGACCAGCATGCCAGACGAGGGCGAGCAGCCAGACAATGACACTGCCTGTGACTCGGAGGAGGACGGGGAGGAGGAGGAGGCGGATGAGTTGGTGGCGCCACACATGCAGTTGCCACCCACACCTCACAGCAGATACCACAAATCGTTTGTGGAGAGCGTCTTGCTGCGACCCTTTAAAATCATTTTGCCCAATGAGGATAACGGCGCTAGACGCCAACGGCTCCTGCAAAAGTTTGAGGTTACGGAAATCTGGTAGCAGATCGGCTCATTAGCTTGTCTTTAACTTGACCTTTAGTTAAAATATAGCAGCAGTTAGACCATTTCACTCGTGCCTCGCCTTGCCACACGTTGTCAAGTGGGTGTCTTGAGCAAACAGCACACGGTAATTGTCTATCTTAGCCAGGCATATGCGGCCTGCCAGCCTTTTTTAGTCTCAGTCTACACAGACTCCGTCTTTGTTTCGTACGTGTTCAATGGGCTAGTGTTGCCGGAAGCGAAGTTTTAATAGTCCCAGCCGCTGTTTAGTCACAGGTTCAATGCCCAAGCTCGCTCTATTCAACGTCTTGGCCGCCGACGAAAAATGTACTGAAAACTTCTCTAGGAGTTACGCTTCTGCAGCCAACTTAACGCGTGGTCAGCAGCAACTAACTTAACACGTACGTTTAAAATATCAGTGCTGCCAGATCGTTGCAAACCGAGTTCGCCGTTGCAAAAGAAGCATAAAATATGGAAATTATGTCAGTCCTTCCACTTCTCTATTACTGTACACTTGAAATGCTAGCTTTTTAATTTATTACATTTAATAGTTATCTAATGTTTGTTATTAACATATGTTTATTCAATTAGCACTTGCTGCAAACCTTACATATATTTAATTTGCTCTGATTTACCGCCTTGGGAGCATAAACAATTTCTTGAATGATTTTGATTTGTTTCACTAACTGTTTTTTAACAATCACCTTTAATTAAGTGTTATGTGTGTGTACTTAAACTATATGTTTTTTATATGTTTTAACTGTAACTAATTATAAAATACATAAACTTATTCGTTCTATTAACATTACAACAACACATGTGTATTGTAAATTCTGTAAAGTTTTTTGCACCGATTATGTTTTGTTCCACAAACAAAAATGATCACAAATGTATGCATTAAGTATTCAATTTATGACAAATTATGACGCTAATTTTTTAAGACAACAAATTCAATTAATATATTTGATTTGCTTGATTTTAATTTGATTTCAAACATTTTTACAAGCGTGCAAAAAACTTCTATTGCATAATTTATATTTAATATGTATGTGTGTGTATATTTTGTAGTAGTAGTAGTTTTTTGCACCTTGCCCAACTAACGCAACATAACAGTTTTGTAGTTTAGAAAATTAGCGCCTGGTTTGAAATGAAATGAGAATCCATTCGCATTTAAGTACCTAGCTAAGTAGAGCTCTTAAGTTCAATCACATTCCACACAAAACAAAAAGCCCACCGATCGTAAGTAAAATATTGAAAATAAATTGAGAAAAAGAAAAAAGACAAACGCATCAATCATTGTAAATCAATCATTGTAAATGAAAAGAAAAAGAAAAATAATCATTCACTGCATAACATGGGCTAATGGGCACCATTGACACTGCACCCCCACCACCACAACCACAACCACCACCCCACTCCAACACCCAGCACCAGCACCACCATGCATTACTGGGCACACCCAACGCATCCATTGCACCACATATGTACATAACACATACGCTCCTTGGGAGAAGCCAGACAGGTACAGTGAAGCGTCTACAGGTACGTACGGCTTGCGCTTGCTTGAATGCTTCTATAATTGAGTACTCCTATATTTTTGGGTAATCGCACTTTTAAAACGCCTACTAAAACAGCTCTATGTCCATTAACTGAGCTCAACTGATCGACTTTGGCCTTGGCCTTCTTTTCTTTTTCGTAGGGTATCAACGTTTCTCTAATATCTATGAGCAAGTGCAGCCAGCACCGTTGAATACACAGGCCACGGATGCCACGCCCTTTCAGCGCAATGCGCCCGTTTATTGGACACTGCAGAACCGGCGAAGCCAGCCGAAGCCGTTGTCCAGCGGCAATGTAACATGCCGGGATGATCTGTATGCCACGCCCATACGACGTGCTGAGCGTGTGGCGCGTGCCGCTGCTGCCAATGCATCCGCTTCCAATGCTGCCGCTGCAGCTGATGGCCGCAGCAATATATCGCCCATTGTGCCAAGGATTGGCAGCGGCAACTTTCTGACCTCAACCCCCACGCGGTCGGAGACAAGCGTCTCGGAGAATATGCCGCCCATGAAGCAGCCGGCGCGCAATTGGAACGACAACTCACCGGAACGACTGAACACATGCGCGGATCGCATTGGTCAGAGCAAGACGACGCTGATGGACTTTAAGAAACTGTTGCTAGCCAAGTCCGCTAAGACGAGTCCCGTGCAGCGCAAAGTGTCCGCCGTGGAGCTGCTCAAGAAATCGACCGCGCCGGCGAGTAATCCGACTGCGTCAAGCCAAAAGCTGGCCACTGCGACGCCTGGTGCGTCCAAGCCAACGTTGAACTCCAGCTTAAAGCTGCTCGACCTGAGCGGCTCGCCAAAGACCTTTGCCAATCGCAGAATGCTGCGTCAGGGCCAATTCGGTTCACCCTCAAAGACTTTTGCGCCTAAGATACGCGGCCCCAATACCGCAGTTGCCTCCGTTGTGCCACGCACGGACATCATGACCACCACAATACCGGAGGCCAACAGCGATGAGGATCACTCCAATAATAGCGGTGGCTCGCGCGCCGGCTCCGAGGCGGATGAAACGGCGGCGTGTACTGTAGCTAGTAGCACCAGTCCCAGTTCTGTGGCCGTCTCCAGTTTCGATTTAAAGCGTAATTTCTTTCTGCAGACCGATGAGAACAACTTTATGCGCGGCGAGCTGAAGCCCAGCTTTGGCCGGAGTGGCAGCACCCCAGTTGCAGCAATTAGTGCGGATGGCAATAAATATGTGAGTGCGCCAACGTCACTGCCAGCATTCGAGACGGCGCTGTAAGGAAACAGAGGGAGAGGCAACAAATGCGGGTCAAACTCGTCGCTGTTGGCCGGAGAGGCAGGGGATGGCCGTAACCATATACATATGCATACACACATAAATACATAGATACATATACATATACATATTCCATAAGGAAACGTAATCCGAGAAAAGCAATTGCATTTGGCGCTTCGCACACTTCCCCAAACTCCGGAAAGGACGCTGATAAAACGCATTTACTTATCTTATATAGAATGGAACGCATCTATGTTCCGAGTCAAAATCGATGCTACTTTATGCAAAATTTACATATACTTATACAGTTCTAGACATATAAACTAATTGATTGCTATATACAAAAAATATCCATTATACAGTAAATTGTATTTTTTAAATTGTGCTGCTTGTATAGACCGAAATATTTTATACACGAATCGTCAAATATTTATTTGTAATTTTACGTTATTTATTGCAATTAAATAATACCTTACATGCATTTGCTCTTTATTTTGTATGTCTATTCGATTAGGATGAAGCGCAAATAAATAAAATATCAACCGAAGAAAACATATACTAATTTATACATATATATATATATTAATTAATTTAAAACTAAATCCAACTACGGCCCACGCTGCCGGATCTGTGTTTGGACGAAGACTTGTCGCCGCCATTATCCTTGCGGGACATCACTGGCGAGCTGCCGGAGCCAATGTTGCGTATGAGTAATTTAAGTCCGCGTGCCTGCACTTCACTGGCTTGACCCACAATGCTCGCCTCGGAGGCAATAATACAAAAGTCATCGACTATGTGACCCGGAGGACTGATGTCGAAGGGCAGGATGTCGCTAAGGCTCTGTTGCTGCCGATACGAGCTGCGTCGTCGAGTACCGCCGCCGTCACCACCGCTTAGATTCTGTGAGCTAGATGCGCTGGCCAGCTGCTGCTGTTGCTCCTGCTGCAGTTGCAGTAGGCGTGCACGAAGACGTGTATTATCATCCTGCAGCCGCTGCATGTGCGCAGCCTCCTGCTCGGCGCGCACAAACGATGGCTGTGGCAGGCACTGGTAGACCGTGGTCAGAAAGTTGCGCAACGACAGCAGCAAAGTGTCCTGCCACTGCTTGGTAAAGAAGAGTGCAAATGTGGGTGACTCCTCGGCGTTCTTGCAGAACGAAAAGACTGTAAAATAGTTCAAAATGACAATGTGACTGAAGCCAAATGGATGCTCATCTTACAGAACCAGTCCTTCCACTCGCTCTGCTGATGCAGCTCGCTGGCCAATATGTTAAAGAATTCGGATATCTTGTCCGATTTATTATTGCTGTACGCTGTCACCAGATAGTATTTGAGCAGGCTATTTTCCAGTTTCTTGACGGCTGTAATGCAGGTCAAAACATAATTTGAAATGGAACAGGAGTAGGCAATGTGTAGCTTGTAGCTTACCAACGGCATATGTGTGATCCAGCTTGCTGAACAGGTTGTTGTCCAAATGCAGCCATAGACTACGCAGCGCCTTCAGGTCCGACGCTTGTACAGCGGCATTGAAATGCTCTATTAATCGCTCCGCACGAAAATGTTGATCCTTTTCGTTGCGCTGCTCCAAATCGAGAGCTTTCAGGGTGTTCGAATATCCCCGATACACTAAATACTCACGCAGCATGCTGTCTAAATAAGCAACCTGAGCCATTTTTTGCGCTTAGTTACGATAAATCAAAGCAGCGCTCAGTAATTATAAGTGTTTTTTTTATTATTTATAAAACAAATAACTATAATTTTGTAATTGTTTTTGTTACTCAATTCGCTTTGTGGTTCCAAATTAACTGTGTTATAAAAGTGCAAGGTAAAAAGATAATCTGAATGTGGACTTCGCCGTCAAGTATTTTTTAATGTTGTCAAATGGTCACACTGTTTTTATAATTTTTCATTGTGTGATTTCAGCAAAACTTAGGTAGCATAGTTTTTGTATAGAACAAATAACAGTCATCCAAATTTTCTTAAGCAAAAGGAATAATGTTATGTCCTGGTGTTCAACTTCAACTTGGTATCGTATTTTTTCAGGCTGCAAAACTATCGATAGCTGAAATAGTATTTATTATTTTTATCTGTAAACTGGTCACACAGACATTTGTGTAGATATTTCTGCGTAATACTTGTGATAGTAACATTTTGATTATAGAAAACAAAGGGGAATCACGTTCAACGCATCAAAACGGAATAAATGCAGCTGGAAAAGCAACATTCGAAATATGAGTCGAAAGGGAACAAAAGATCAAAATGATATATCGCTAATCATTGGGACTCTACCGAAACGGCTACAGAACAAGTTCGCTGCAAGCTGTAGTAACAACAGCCACGCAGCAGAGGATGCTGAAAATACGGAACCTACGCCACCAGCCAGTACAAGGCCAGGTAATATAGATACATGAGTCACACTTAAGCGCGCAACAATTAACAGTGGTTTCTCTCTCTATATAAATATATATATATATATGTATATTGTGTGTGTATAACTGTGTGTTTTTGCGCGCGCGTGAATATCTTTTCAGTCAAAATTCTGAGCAAGCCGAAGGAAAATGCTGGAAATACGACAGGAATATCCGCACCCGTTTTGGATACCAGCGGGTGCAGCAGCTTGGAGAACAGGTCAACCGAAGTGGGCATACCTGGCATACTGCGGGTAAATGCCAGTCCAGCAATAACAACAGCTGCATCCAGCGCTGACAGCGTGCGAACTGTGCATAGAACACGTAGACGCAACCGTACGCGTTCGGCACGGATGCATGAACAAACCCCGTTGTCGCCACTGTCACGCGTACGTCTAACCACCGACCATCCGGCGTGGTTTGAACAGCTACTAAATATGGCAAACGTCAAGATTATTGTGCAATTGTACGATCAACTAATGGTGTTGCAGCAACGAAATTTAATTCTTATCGTAAGTATTTGCAGATATTAATAAATCGATGATTCAATATGTGCTAATTATATTGCTTGTAGAACTGGAAGAACTTTTGCAGCTTGCATGGACAGCTACAAGAGGCGTTTTGCTGTTTATTGCTGGAACAGTTGAAATTCGTGTGTGAACACAAAGTGGACGCATTTTTTTGGAAGCTTCTCTTTTACAATGTGCGGGAGTATTTAAAGCGACAGCAAACGAATGTGGCCCAAAGGCACATGCTACTGCTTATCGAGCAGTCTATAAAGTTTTACCGAGCGCTCTTTGACAAGCTCATGGCCAAGTATATCTCTGCACGCTGTGAAAGCGCAGTCAAGGTGGTCGCTCAACGTTTGCTCATCTGCTTGGGCGACTTGTCACGCTATCGTGCGAACCACTTGCAATTAACGGACTTTACAGAGGCCTGCAAATACTACCAGCGGGCTCAGGAGCTTGTGCCTGGCAATGGAGCGCCGTACAACCAATTGGCCATTATTGCTATTTATAGTGTAAGCAATTGATTCTATAGTTGTGCGTTTTAATTTACTGACCACATTGTCGTATACCTCTTTCACAGCACAAACGCTTCGATGCTGTGTATTATTATATGCGCAGCCTGTTAACATCCAATGCTATACAATCGGCCAAGGAGAGTCTACTTGATTTGTTTGATGAAATCCGCCGCAAATATGAGGAAACCGAAATGAAGCAATCTCCCATGCATTGTGCAGCTAGCAAGCCCAAAAAGTCAAAGCAAATGCGCAGGGAAGTTTGGATTTATCCAGATGGCATAAGGCGTTTACATCGAACCGATGTCAAAGCCAAGGCGAAGAATAGGCCAACTATAACCGAAGTAAATCGCTACGATGAGATGTCAGCAGAGGATTTGCTACCACGCGTCGTATCGCTGTACCTGTATCTAGTGGGCAAACTTTTTACAGCCACTGAGTAAGCATGAAAATGTCTTAATCCAACGTCGATTTCATTTCATTTTGTCATCTACAGCATTGAGTGTATGTACCAGCAGCTGGGAAAGCTCCAAGTTCAACTCGGTGCGGCTCTCAAGTATGACAATCTCGTGTCGCGCACCAAACTTTTGAAAATGGTGGCACTAAATGTATTTGTCTTGGAGCATAACAAGCTAAAAGGTAAACGCAGATAACTCTTCATCAGCAGACTAATTAAAACGTTGAATATTCTTTTAGCTAATCGTCGTGAAATGCGTTATCATAGCTTCAACTTTGCCAATGCATTGTTTGGTCTAATGCTGAGCAGGTCTAACGAACTACTTGCCAGCCTCACGGAGGAGTCTGCCGATCTGCAATGCTTCACAGATGAAGAGTATGTGAAAGTAATGGAGTTATGACCTAGTATTAAACGTTGTTTCTTTACAGATTAACACGCATCAACACTTATTTGCAGTTTGTGAAGATCTATACACATTGGCTGACTATCAATGTGAACCTTTGGGAGCCTGTGCGCACGGAAGAGTAAGTTTTGAAATCTATTAGCATTTTTTTTTAATACTTGACTTTCATTTTATAGCCACTCATTCATTGACTGCTGGGCGGAGCTGCAAATACTTTTTGATCACCTTGAAATCATATACAACAAACTGGATACAGATACAGACATTAGATTCACCAATGTCGCGTTGGATGAGGACGTTGTGCTTAGCGGTTTTGAGCCATTGGGTCGTGATGTGGTCAGCAGAGAATGCTGCCATCGTAGTTCCGAGCGTGTGCAGTTTGTGGAACGCATTCGACAAATATTGCTATTCCAGGAGATTTACATACAGCATCAGGAAGCATTGCAGCTGCCGCTAAATGCGAGCTTTACAATCGAGGATTTAAATACCGCTATGCAAGTGGCACTTAATGACTTTAATGTGGAAAGCTGCGTTGTATCTGCGTCTGCTGAGAGTTGCACATCTGAGCCAAGTCTAGAAGAAGTGGACGCACAGTGCTCGACAAGCGCCAATGCGGATGTGTCGCAACTGTGCAAATTGAAGAAACAACTCGAGGCAAAAGCCAAAGTCAAACAGATTTGCAGTAGCAAGTTGGAGGAAATTCTGAAATTAGTTGACTCCAAATTGTACATTGAGGTGCGTCCGCGTTACCTTTTGCCCGACACCAACTGCTTTATCGATTGTCTGGAGGATATTGAAAAACTATCTATGGAATTTAAGCGCTATACTATTATCATACCGCTGACGGTGGTAAAAGAGCTTGACGGACTATCTAAGGGGGTCAAGTTGGATTCGTATCGCAGCTCTAAGCAGACGCAACGCATTCATCATTTCGATGAAGTATCATCGCGTGCCAAAAAATCGCTGGAATTCATCAGATCGGCCAAAAATAATGTTAAGTATGGAAACGCTTACCGAATTATGTTGCAATTCATTTTATAAATGCTTTACTGTTTTCTTTTAGATGTGCTACAACGAAAGGCTCAGTTATTAATGCTTCGTTATTTGCACTCGTTGAGGAGGAGTACGCCTCCAACGATGACAAGATTCTGGCAACGGCTGTTGCTGTTTCCAAGAACGCCAGCTCTGAGCAATGCAGAGGTATAACGCTTTCTTTTATAGACTAATTAGATATTAATTAGATTAAATATATTCTTATAGATGGCAAGTGCTTTATTCAAACGGAACTGGTGCTCATCACCACCGATCGGAATCTGCGCGTAAAGGCACTGGCGCGCAATCTGGCAGTTAGCGCCTTGGATGAGTTTTTGCAATGGGCCAAGGACTGTCGTGAATCAACCTGAGCGCCAACATTGAAGGAATTGCGATACCGTGCTGACAATTGTATCAGGTTCATCCACCTGCGCATGCATGCTGTGAAGAGCGAGCTTGTACTTTCAATATTACCATCATTAGACATATTTGACTATGTATGTTGCGGCCAACAGCCGTAGCACACGTAAACATGGGACGTGGCTCTGCGCTTGAAGTTGGAGCATAGTTATGTGCTGGTTTTGTTCGCGTGAGGCTTTTGCCAAATCGATTCGGCTTGAAATATTTGGCCAACAGACATATCAACATTTGCTTTCCAAATTTTTACATACATTTGTGATTTGCGTTAAAACAATAAAATAAAAATTGAAGGGTTGTATAATTAAATTTGTTGTTAATATATCGGCTCAAGTTGGGGCTTTTGCCTTTTGCCAATCAAATTCCAATTTATAGAAGTATTTGTTAATTATTGACAGCAGTCGTTTTGAAACATATTTTAGAAACTCCATGAAGCTGACTTGCATCTGCTTGAAATCTCGTTTTGTTTTTTCCATGCATTCAGGTAGTTTTGTGGCTTTAAATATAGTTTATTGAAAACTAAAATGTGTACATTTGTTTATATTTTGCTTTGCATTTTGTACCTAAAATATACTCTCTTTGATGTAGAAATATAAAAACTACGTGTTATATGCAAATCTAACAATCACATTTGATTTAAATCTAACTTTAAAAGCGAAAAACAAAAACAAATTGCAGCTGATAGACTATAGAAACAACAACAACAACAGCGGCACAGCGATTATCCTATATGGCATTTGATGCCCAATTCCAAATTTGTCTCAGTGATTTTTCAAATCAAATATTTCGCGCAATAAAGGTTCCACCTGGGAAGGATTCACATTTAGGTAAACATTGATCATGAATTTATTCAGACGCTCCACATCTGAAATCTTTTGTATCAATCGAATAAACGCATTCTTTGCTTCACAGCCTGGATACACGCTCTCCAGATATCTTCGCAGAAGATAATAATAGGAATTCTAAAAGACAATGGACTTGCGATTATCAAAAGGCTCGTGTTAAGGTATTATTATGTATCTGTTTACTTGGTCCAGCCTAATGGCGTCCTTGTGAATTAAACGCGCCCGCGCCGGTGTAAAAAGCACAATGGCACACATTATAAGAATAATGTTTTCATCCATGCGCCACTTCTCATCAAAGGTGGTTATGAACTTTTGATGCTCTTCATAGACATTCCCTTTGGCAAACTTTAATAGATCGGTGCGTATATTGGCCATATTCTCTTTGGTATGCGGCACCTGCAAGATGATTTGTACGGTACACACTTATAAATATATATATAATGCATATGTCACTAACCTTCCAGGCACATCGATCGTTGTCATAAATAATCACTGAACGCATTATCATCATTTCGGTGCAGCCACCTTTGAGCAATGCCACCTGATCCTCTTGGCACATGTCACGGAATGCACTGATCTTCTTGGCCATCTTAATAAGACGCTTTATAGCCACCGCCGTCAAATTGATGAGTTGTAGCAGCTTTGGACTTTGTCTCGCATCGTCGGGCTGTGGGTTGTAAAGGAAATTGATAACATTCATTATCACACTATTCGAGTTTGTCTTCAAAATATGATTTAATAATAAGGGCCGTCGCTTATCAGTTCGCTGTACACCTGTGGGCTCCACATTTTTCGAAATGTATCATTTTTCCTAATTAGCAGCACAAAATGTGCTAATCGAAACGGAACAGCAGTGGTAAACAGTCAATACAATGGCCATAAAAGCTGCCACACAAAACAAGAAATTTGTTTTGACGCTCCAACTGCTGGGGGGTTATTTATGTGCGCCTGCTATGGCTGGTGATAGTACCGTAATGTTGTTAACGTAAGACTGATAAAGATATCAACGGTGATGGTTCAGACGATTGTGGTGCGTGTTGCTAATATCCGTGTATGTCTGGCCTGGCTCAGCAACAGGTGTGTGCATTTCCATTGCGACATTATTTTATGCTTTTTGTTTACATTGAACAGTGTAGGCGTGCTAGGCACACAGAAACTGTGAGATGCACTGACTCATTCGCCAGGTGCTAACTGTCTATCGCGATTGAGTGTGCCCGATTAGATAAGCGACCGTGCAGGTGTGAGTGTAAATTTGGATTTTACTGAAATTAAAAAAATAGGCGGTCACCTTAATGCGCTCGTCGTTCATCATCAAGGCACTGAGATCTTCATCAACTGGATCGTAGAGGGCCTCGCTGGCGAGTCGCAGTTCGCGCAGCTTCATTTGCTCAGCCTCGTTCAGGTCGCGCTCCATAAATACGCTCGAGGGTGCGCAAATGGGCTGCTGTTGCTGTAGATGATGCTGTCTGGATGCCTTGCAGCCACCGTACGACTGGCCCATATAGGACGACGGCATGCCAGCATCATGATACATTTCATCTTTAATGCGAGAAGCAGGCGTCTGTAAACTGTTGAATGCCTGATACTCGAGACGTATCACTTCTGAGAGCACAGACTCTATCGAATTGATGCTGACGCTCCCATCCACGCTGAACTCATCATAGCCGGGCTGATTTAAGCTTTTCACATCGAAATCTGGCGAATTGACTATATAAGGCAAAGGATGGCTACCCGATGTGCTGGGCAGCTCGTCCGGCATATGGTTCGTACTGGGTGACTGATAGTGCAAGTCAATGGGAATATTATTACTGGCTGGGCTGGCAATGCTGCTTAATGGCGAGGTGACTACAGTTTCTCCTGTGTTTATGCTGCTTATGCTGCTCCCTGATGGACTGCCGTGCAGCATTGTTTGAATAACAGTATCAACGCGGACATTTTGAGACGGTTTTTCGCATTGTTGGAAATGGCCCAACTCTGGCTCCTCAGAATCGTTGGCCTCAACCTGTATTGGCTTCCGACCAGTTTCTGTTGTCGTGTTTGTGCCATTGAAGATGCGGTTTAGCATTTTAAGAGCCTCAGCAGGTGTGTTCATAAATTTGTTCATTATGTCAATGGCATTCTCCGGGGACCTCATCAGATTCTGCATAAACTCGACCACATCTTTGGGCGAATCAACAATCTTAGAAATGATCTCAAGGCCATCCGTCGGTGAGCTCATAAACTTGGTGAATACTGTTAAAGCGTTGAAGGGCGAGTTCATAATTTTGCTTATGATTTTGAGTGCGTCACCTGTAAATAGTTAGAGCATTAATACTTTACAAAGATGATGTATTTAGAGTTTAAATATATATTCACCTGGATAGTCGATTAAGTGTGACACAAGCTTTAAGGCATCTTTTTGTGATTCAATTATTTTCGCCATAACTGAGATAGCTTCCTTTTGGGTACGCATAAGCCTATTGATAGCTTGGCATGCGCGATCTGGATCAGCTACTATCTCATCAACTAATTTATCGGCAGTCATTAATAGCGGGTTAGTTTCCGCCAGCCGGTCAGTCGGTGGTTTGTTTGTGGTTGAGCTAGTGGGTCCCATGGGAATACCATTGGCATTGGCGCCACTGTCAGGTGAACCACAGCTTTGGGAATCTTGCGAGCCACCATACATGTCCAAATTACAGCTGCTATCGGCGACAGCACCAGCTACTTTGCTGTCATCCGCATCTGCGTCCGCATCGGATCCGCCATGCTCCATCATGCGACGCTTGGCGCGATTGTTTTCTATCTTTCGACGCTTGATTAACTTGTCCTCCTCGGACATAATGTTCTCGCTTTTCATGCCAATGTCCAGGCACTTTTTCAGACGGCACTTCTGGCAGAAACGGCGGGTGACCACGGTAATCTCGCAGTTCTGATTAAATGGGCAGGTGAACTGCTTTTTAGCCAGCGCATTGCGTCTAAAGAACGCCTTGCAGCTTTCGCAAGTAACAGCATTGAAATTATACCCAAGCGCCTTGTCGCCGCACACAGCACAGTTCTTAGGGGGTGACATATTGCCTAGCCCTACCTCTGCCTCTGCCACTGTCTCCCCAGCTTTCAATTAGAATTGTGATTGATTTTTTAATTGCTGCTTTGTTGTGGACTGGCCGCGAAAAATTGCTCTGCTTTTTTAATTAATTTTCTTGTAGCACTTATGGTTGAACGTGATCTTCCAGCATTTTCCTCTTTAAACGTCCTGTTTTATTGCACCGTTTGCCCCGCGAATTCAACACGTATAAATCAGCAAGTTTCGTTATCACCACATATTTTAATTAATGGGGCCCTCTTCTGTGTTGTGCTCGCACGGTGTTTGTGAAAGAGCCATTCTCCCATTACGTTGACACACAACTATCGATATATCCCAGCTGTGATGTGCGCAATAAATGTGACTGGCAATATTCCTCCCGTTACCTGTGACTGCCAGAAACACCAGCAAATAATTGTAATTTTGGTGTGCTGAAAAAAAATTAAATAGAATGAATCGTGTTAAAACAAAACTTACCAAAACCGGCGAAATTGTCGCTTACAGTGAGGGCGCCATTCGTAATAACATATCTGCGGTCGAGTATTGTCGCACCTCAATGGCCGCAATTTCAGGCTGCGCTGCTGGTAATTTGATTAATTCATCATTCATTTACAATTGGCCTTTTGGTAATCTACAATTTGCTTCTAGGTATCTTGGGACTGAGTGGAACACTTGGCTTCTTATTTTACTTTTTGTCCGTTTTCGTGCTGTGGATTCTGGTATTAATGAAGTCGGGCACCCAATGGCGCAAGTATTTCATTAACCGGAAAAACCTATTGACGAATCAATTCATGGGCGGCCTTTGCACCTACGTGCTCTTTTGGACATTCTTGTATGGCATGGTTCATGTTTACTAACATAAAGTGCATTTCCTCCATGCAAATAGACAAATAAACATAGTTTAAGGTTCGGAAAACTCGTTGTTTTCAATTTATAACTAGGTTTGTACGACGGAAGCAGCTGCTGCCGTTCCCGAACAATCGCACCAAGGCGTTTTATTTGCATCACAATCAAGCAATATATTAAGAATCGTTACGTTTACGCCATCGATCAACAGGTCATGTACTTTGAGTATCTTGTAGTTAACGTTGTTCAATCCCGTACTGTGGTCCCTTTTGCGTGTCATCTCCTTTTGATTGAAGCACTTTTGTGTGTCGCGTTTACGATGGTGGCGATTGTGTATATGGCTGTAAGAGGCAAATCTTTGCTAGAGCTGAATTTCAGATACAACACTACTTGTAATACTACCTGAAAGTATCGTTGATGCCAGTCTTAATGTTTTGGGGGCGTGTGACCTGTAAACCAGCATCCCTGATGCGTACAAAAAATTCGTCGTCCTCTAATCCCCATCCCCAGTATTGGTTTGACATGCCGTTCATCTGTTTGAAGTGCTCACGACGTACTAACAGAATGCCGCCGACAAAGTTGTCGTAGTGGTACTTTGGATGCAACTTTGGACCAGCAATGTGCAGCGGTCCCAGGCTGCTGGGATACTCGTATAATAAATCCTTGTTAAGTGGTAGCAAATCCACGTCATGCATGGCAATATAGTCGTAGACTTCGCTGGTGAAATGGAATCCAACATTGATTAGAGAGGCGCGATTGAATCGGTATCTGTCCACTTGATTAAGCACAAATATATGATGCTCGACACCCTGTCGACGCAAAAACTGCGTCAGATGCGGCACGAATTGAAGCAACTCTTCGAATCGGTCTCGAAATGGCACCAAAACTGCCATTTTATGTGCCGATTTAGTAAATGTTTTCGTTTGTGTTAGCTCCTCGGCATTAACCCTACTCAATGGGTTCTTCAGCGGGCATATACAGTCTAAAAATAAACATATGCGAATTTGTACTTGGACATTAAATATTTATACTTTTACCTGAGCTGAGCGGCATGAAACTGAGCACTGCAATGCCGCCTAGACAGAAGGACAGGCCACACACAAATAGCCAGTTTATTGTTGATATGTTGACCATTTTCATTTATGCTATTCTAATTCTAAATGTTTAGTTATGTGTCTTAACTATGTCACGCCATATAAAAGACAAATGTTGGCTCTTGTTTAGGTGCCTGAATTTTATTGTTCAGCTGTTTTCGGCTGCCTTTGGTGGATGCACTCATTTCGATAACAAGAATGGTTACTCGACAAAAGCTATCGATATTTACTTGTAGTGAACACAAAAATGTTCAAAATTTGAAACAGCCGTTATTAAAAGCTTTCTTGATGTTTGCTTAAAATCCAGTTCCTTCATATTGTATGTTGACACCAGGCGTGGCGTCTAGGAACAACAAAAGTATCATAAGAATCTCTATTCTATTGTAGGGCAACAAATTGTCAAAGATAGCAAAATAACTTTGATTCAATTGCTTCTCTATGTGCTCCATCATTTTAGGCGAGCAAATATAACTTTCCAGATGTACATTTCAATAAAAAGCGTTGTATTTATTTAAAAGATTACAAAGAAAGCTTGCATATAAATTACGATAATTACGGAAACACAAGAGCTGTTCTTAAAAGACATATAAAATAAATAAGTTCTACATTAAAATTTATTTATTTATTTTTATAGTTAAATACTTAAAAACTGTAACTATATTTAGAGATTATATAAATCTAATTGTTGTTCAAATTTATTGTGTTTTAATAACGCTTCGAATTTTCAGCTTACCTCTAAAGCTCAAGCGACTGAAATTTCTGATATATGTATGTATGTATATTGTTGTTACAGGGTTTGTGTTAATACCAAATCGGTATGCTGATATCTTAAAAAAAAAAATGTACAAAATTATTGACTACTTCAATATTTACTGTTTTTGTGCACTTTTCAATCAGTCGAGCAATAGCAATAGCCTACAGTTGATTCGATTGCTTGTTTAGTTTCCGTTGTCAGTTGACTTTAAAAAACTCTCTAGTTAAATTACTTTTCTTTCCTACCACAGATGGATTTGTGCGTGGGTGGCGCAAATGCAATGACATAAACTTTAAATTCAATCCATTAAAAACTATGCAATTCGTGGTTCGCTTGTAAAATTGCTATAAAAACTAGTTTCGTTCGTTTCTTCATTTTACACATATTGTATATAAAAAGTATAAAAGCTTGGGAAAGTTGATAGAAGATCTCAATATCTCAACTCAATTGAACTGATCTGATTTGATCTCATTTTGCGCGTGTGTTAGGCGGATTTCGTTGCTCTTACAACAAAAGAAGACTAGAAGCAACAATAATACACAAAAAATAATAATGTTTAAAATAAGATGACTAAAATACTATAAAAGCGCATTGAAGAAAAGTATTGCTATTAAAACAAACAAAAAGAAACGGCTTTTCCATAGTCAATCGTTGGGGCTTCGTAAAGTCATTGATTGTGGAACCAAAATGTCGGGTTAGGTTTGAGTCTCCTGAAAGCGATCGCATTTTCTGGGGCCCCACAATGAACGACTTTACAAGGCGCATCGTACGCTGCTATGGTCTGTTATATGGGATTGTTTCAAATACATAAGTAATTCGTTTTTAGTGAGCGCGTTCTAAATTAATTGCACCTATACTATGTATACAGTACAATATCACTGGTTGCTTCGTCACGTAACCTAATCCGAAACAAATTGAAAATCAATTGAAAAAGTGCAAATATCTATCGGCAACTCAAGGTTTACAAATTTTCATTCCGTTCGATCTGATATTATTTGGATCTAATTAAGTGGGTCGCAATATTTTCACCAGTTTTGGCACCTTCGTTTTTTTTTTTGTTTTTGTTTTTTTTTATATCTTTTGTTTCAGTGTCTATTTCTGAGTCTATTTTTTTTTCAATATTGTTCTTGCTCCTTCAAAAAACGTGAGGAATGCAGCTCTGTGGGTGCAATTTGGGCTGTTTGTTTGTCTGTTCTGTGATTGTTTGCTTGCTGTGCTTAAAAATTAGTTAAAATTATATTTAGTATGCATGGCTGGTGGTTCATCTTTTACGCCCAGACGCAACAGCAGCCATCACTTGCTGCATTGTTGGCTCCGGCACGCATTGCTGTGGGTCGCATTTCATCTTGCCATCGCCACCACAACTGAAATTCAATAAAGAGTCGATAAGTTGAATTCTATTTGAATAATAGACTGTATACTTACGTGCAGCTGATGCAGGGACCACTCGTCGATTCGATAGGTTCGCCCACCTTGTATGAACGGCCGTTAATGAGACAGCCAGTGTGTTGGACAGCATCGCCGTGGGAGTAGTTCAGGAAGTGTGGTGGCAGTGTGGTGCTTGTGGTTGTCGTACTAGTCGTTATATTGAGCACAGCGGCCATAGACACGGGACACTCGTATCGTGGACAACAGAAGCCAGAAATTGGCTCCTCATGACAGCCAGCAATTGGTGGCGGGCAAGATTGCTGCAAGCAGATGATGTCGCTTCTGAAGCAGAAGCAGAAATCGCAAGGATCGTCGCGTGGGATCTGCTGAGCAGACACGTAAATTTTGCCAGCATACCGACAGGTACCTGGGCCAAATACCTCCTCTTCGTCGTATTCGTCCTCGGGATAAGATGGGTACTGGGGTTGGTGGCCATAGGTAGGCGGTGTAATGGGTTCGTGTTGTGGGCTGGATGTTGAGGTTGTTGTGAGCGGCGATTCTGTTGTGGTTGTCTCAGTGGTCTGCTTGGTTGGTGCAGCTTCAGTTTCTCCATCTCCCAGTCTATCGTCGATAGATGGGGCCTTTGTAGTGCTGGTGAGGTGCTGTGCGAACAGTGGATGGAGCGTTGTAATACTGGCAATATCTGGGTGTACGGTAGCTGTTTCTTCGCTGGATGCCTCCGTCGATGCTTCATCATGAGCAGCAGGTGTAGCTGATGTGTGTGGTATCTCTGAGACCACAGCTGGGACTTCGGCCTCGTCGTGTCCAGGTTTCTTTTCAGCTGGCTCAGTAACGCTCTCCTCAGATTCGGTGGATTCAACACTTTCATCTTGCTTATGCGTATCCTCTGATGCAGGGGTATGCTCCTCCTCCGACTCAACCGACTCTTCATCCTCCTCGGTAGAATCTAAGCTTGGCTTAACAGTTGGTGCCACGGTAGTCTTTTCTGTGTCGGATGGTTTATCAGTATGATCTTCAGACTCTGGTGCCTCAGTTAATTTAACTGGAGTTTCCTTTTCGAGATCTGTTTGCGCAGTCTGTGCCAGCAATTCATCTTCCTCCACAGGTGCCTTAGTGGGGATTTCGTCTGTTGTTGGCGCTGGTGTTGGTGGCTTCAGCTTGGCACCAGCAACTTGATCTGTGGTGTCTTCATCTATAACAGCACCTGGCTCAGTAGTTTCCT